TTTATTTACTCATTTTCTCAAAATAAGAAAGAATTGCATACCAGTTCGATAAGAATCTTTATACAAAGAATTACCACTTGCTTATCCAAGAATTTTTTATGGCATGTTGAACAAATCATCAATCGTGACATTTAATTGCATACTCTCAAGTCATGGCCTAAAATGAAATTTACATACTCAAGTGGAGGATGAGATGATCTGTTGTTGTCCAAATAATTAAAAAAAAAAAAAAAAGTCTTTCCACAAATTAATGTGGCTCTTTTTTTTCTTTTTCTTTTTTTCCGAAAGGGACCCATTTTTCCAAAATTGCAAGTTCGCAAAAGAGAGGAGATCAGGAACTATATTGATTATGTGTGGTTGCCTGTGCCAGAAGCCATAAATATATAATGTCACTATGTCATTATCATCCACCTATAAGGCTTTTATTATATATTCGAGGAACGGTCCAATGATATTAGATTTTATTTTCAAACCTCAAATACAATTGAATAACATTAATTGAGAAGAAATGATGAAATCTCTTGTCAAAACATGCTTGATGGGATCAATATTCTAAGCAATTTATTGACAGTTTTCTTTTTCAATAAATTAAATATCTTAAATTTAAATTTTAAACATATAAATAAAGTACTTAATGCAATGAAAAAAAAAGTTAAAATTGAGATTATTTATTGCATACAATTTTATTCTTTTTTAAAAAAATATCTTATAATTGAAATTATTTTTAATTAAAAAATATTGATTTTTTAATAAAAGAAAACTCATAATATTAAAAATACTTTCTCATCTAAAAATTCAAATGATAAAATACGTACCCTTGTCCATTTCACAACTTAAAAAACTGCATTTGTTTTCTAACCTGGAGATATTGGGGCGTTTGGGGAGGAGAAAAAGAGATACAAAAGAATTAAGTTTTATTTTTATTTGATAATTATATTAAATTTTAAATAATTTAAAAATAAATTGTATCAGATATGAAAAAAATATATTTTAATATTTATTTTTTTATTTATAAAATTTAAATTTTTATTTTTATTTTAAAAAAAATTAAATTTCCCTCATTTAAGTTAATAAATTATTAATACAAAAAAATTAAATCTTAATGATATAAATAAAGTACCTATACAACGATAAAACAAGTCACAAACGAGGCTGAACTTAAAAATTGCCTTCAACCCAGTGAAAAGTCCTAATGATTCCCATTTTTGACAATACAACTCTGTGTTCCCCTTTTTCCCGAAAAGAATATGAAGTCGTGATCGTGGGGTGCTAGGCAGGGCCGCAAGTGGTTGGTCGATTCAAATGTTTCACGGTAAACGATAATCAGTCAATCATTAGTCACCTTTATTCCAATTATGTGGCCTAGAAATTGCGTAATTTTAGGCCGGGAAATGAATTGCACGTTAAACACGTCAGCCGTGACTTCACCTCCACTTTTTTTTTTAAATAGTGGTATAAAGATAAATTTTTATATATTTTTTAATATTTTTTTATATATTATTAAATAAATATATTTAATATTATAAATTTTAAATAAACAAATAAATTAATTATTTAAATAATATATAAAATTATATAAAAAATAATAAAAAAAATTATCTTGAAATCATTTTCATTTCTGTTAGAGCCTGCCAGAGCCGGCCAAGGTGTCAACTTGGCGCGGATGACATGTACGTCGCGATGTACATCACGACGTTTTTGTTGAGTCTCTATCATTCTAATATCATCTACAAATGGAACCTAAAGACTCTATTCCCCTGCGTGCATTCTTACGTAAGTCTCAAACAAATCTTCTCTACTGTGTACAAAATATGACGGAAGTGAAAAGGGTTAAAACCAATCGTCGTCCCTCCACTTTTATTTCCTTTTTTTGTTCATACCCATCCTCCTACTAAGGATTTATTTGTTGTTGTCCCTCTTCTTTCCGAATGCTAATCAATGTCATCCCTCTAATTACCTTTGTCTCTTCAATGTTGTCCTTATTTGGATGTTGTTGCTTGAGTTGTTTATTTTGACCGTCATATGTTGCCAGTCCATTGTTAACACAATTCTTTATTTTTTTTTTTTCACTTGTTCTAACTTAGTAGGGACCACATACTACTTTCCTTTTCATCATCTTCCACTCTATTCCCCCAAACTCATCCTTTTTTCTACATAAACCTAATGCCCAACCCAAGATTAACTAAAAATAGCATTTTCCAACCCACTTTGTAAGTTATTGGGATATATTTTTACTTTTAAAGAAAAAAACATAACTAAAAATTTATTAGTGGAAATAAATAATAATAGAGTTTATTATTTAATATAACTTGTTAAAGGTAAAATATTATTTTGATATTTTATTATTGAAAGTGTTTTATAATCCAGATTTTATTAAATTATAAAATATAAACTATTGAATGAGAGATGAATCCATAATATTAAAAATCTTCTCTATCAAAAGATCTTTATTTTATAATTTGATATAGTTCAAATTATAAAATAATAAATTCTTTTATTATTTATTTTCACAAATAAATTTTTAATTTTATTTTTTTTCTTTAAAACTAAAGAAAAATCCCAACAACTTGCAAAGTGGGTTGGAAAATACTAATTTCATTTAATCTCGGGCTAGGCATTTGGTTTCCGTAGAAAAATGGATGAGTTTGGGGAAATGGAGCAGAAGATGATGAAAATGAAAGTAATATGTGGTCCCCACTAAGTGAGAACAAATGAAAAAAATAAAGAATTGTGTTAAACAAATGACTGACGGCATATAACGGTCAAAATAAATGGCTCAAGCAAAGGCGTCCAAATAAGGACAACATTGAATGGAAAAAATTAAGTAGAGGGATGACATTGACTAGTGATTGGGAAGTAGAGGGATGGCTATGAACAAAAAATGAAAGTAGAGGGATGAAAATTGGCTTTAACCCAAGTGAAAATAGTTAGATTTTTAAAAAAAATTAAGAAAAAAATATTTTGAAATTATGTTATTTAATAAATTTTTATTAAAAAGAGCAAAATATCTTTTTTTAATGCAAGAGTGATTATTTTGTTTTTTATTTATAATAATTTATTAAAATAACGTAATTTTATTTTTTTCTCCTTAATTTTTTTTAAAAAATTTAATTAATAAATACTAATTTCATACAAAAGTAGAACTATGTTTGATTTGGTAATTCCAAACGATATATAGTTGATAATGAATATTTGATAGAATGGTTTAAAAAATTAAACTCAAACAAGTTCAATTCAATTAGGCTGATCAATTAGTGTTAACAACATTTTGAATCAACATATTAAACCAACATTAGTTAAAAATCTGTCAACAACCCAGGCTGACTCAACCGTGCACTTTTTCTTGATTTAAATATGTTTTGCTTTCCTCTTTTCATTTTCTTTAATTTTTAAGGGAAAAATGTTTTACAAGCCAATTCGGCTGTATCTACGAAAAA